ATACTGCCAGGGTCGAGCTTATAGGTGATCACACTATTTGGGAACTCGATTCACTCCTAGGAAGGCGATCGGACCTACGGTTCACAGACTATTTGTGAATCCAATACTGCCAGTGTCGGGCGTATAACTAACACAGTATTTGATATCTCCTCCCCCCCACCACCACTACAGCTTTCAAACTGTAACAAATTAAATTAAAGCCTCAAATCTTCAAGATTCCACAAAGAATCTTAAAAATATGCCCATGCTAACATTAGGTATATAGAATACATCTAAACTCCCAGTCCCATGGGCAAAGCTGACACGGGCTGACGGTCTCCGGGGTGCAATGCTCACGGGCTGCTTCCTTTGCAGGCCGCAGCGTGCAGCAGCCAGGGCCTCAGCAGGGCACAGCTGCTGCTCCCGGCCCTGGGCAGCAGCAGCTGCACCACAGCCTGTGCCAGCCGCTTGGGCAAGGATCCCAACAGCAACCGGAGGCACTGCTCATGATCCTTATCCCCATAAAAACGAAGGGAAAAATAGATCTTTTCCTTACAAGCACTTGTAAGTTACTGTATTGCCTGGAGTATTTTGTGTGACCGTTTTTCTCTGCTTACCTTTCTCATTAAGAGGCTTTTGCGCCTCATTCCACAAGCCTCCAGCTGGACACGTCCCCGCAGCCCCAGCTCGATTAACATACAGCCACGCAACCCCGAGGAGATGCAGTCATTCCAGAAGGATGTGTAACCCTGGGAAGGACAAAAGAGAGTAAGAGATTTCCCTCTACAGCTGAAAAAAAGTGAAAAGGACTTCCTGCCTTTTCTGCATCCACCTTCATTAACCCCGTCCTTGCTACCCTAACTCAACCTGAAGCAACACAGGTAACCGACCATCATGTTTACTGAAAACAAAAAGGAGAAACAGACCCATCCCCAATTAGTTTTAACACAGACTCTGTTCTTTGAAGAGCAGAGAACTTCAGAAAAGTGATACAAATTAATACAGCAAGGTATCAGCAACTGCTAGATATTAAGTGTAGTTTATAAGTAGTTAAAATAGCACAATTACATTTCTCAGACCTCAAGTGTTTGACATTTCCAGCATCACACAATCTTATCTGGATTTCCTGAGAAACATTAAAGTTATTTTACATCCATAAACATAATAATCTGAAATCAAGATTAAGTAAGATCTGTAGCATACTGTAAATTAATAGAAAAATCAATCAGAAAAGTGGCAATCAGGAGAATGTATGGAAGAAATTTTTCAGCTTGATTGTAATAAAACCAAAAGACAATGAAACTTTTTCAATAAAATATTTAGAAAGCCACCATATGCCTACCATTTTGTCATTTAAATCTCTAAACAGGGCAGAACAGAGTATTTGACTCAATAGATCTATTCAATACCTAGAAACACATTTACTGACTTCTGTACTTTATTTCTTGAAAACTGTGAGGAAGTATGGTCAGTTTTGAAACTCACTTTTCAATTTAAAAGAAGCTTAATGTTACTAAAACACTGTGACCAAAGACAAATTTATTTACAAAATTAAGGTGAGCTGATGCTTTCACTTGCAGTGGGAAGAGAACTTCTATTATGGAGTAGAAAACAATCAATAAAAAAAATGTTACTGATGCAAGACCAGCATTTAACACAAAATAATTTTGAGAATTGATTTGTCTTAAATGATTATGGAAACACCAGGTGTGATACAGAAAGGCCTTCCAAAATCCCACTAGTGATGGCATCCCGTCTGTGAAAATATCTACCTCGAGATGCTCTAGGAAAAGCTGCATGAAATAAGAAAAGCACTTTGCCTTTCACAGGATTCTCATCCTAACCATGAATAAAGACTAGCTTGAATCATAAGCAATGCCATTCAATACTACTTGCAATTAAAGGCTGCCCATGTACAAAGATACCTCAAGTGTATACATCTCAAGTCTGCTAAATATGTTTAGATCAACAAATGCATGTTCTTAAACTTAGATTTCTAGGAACATGATGGTGTTGTCTTCCACTTAGCAGCTAGAGAGAGCTGCATTATTAAAAATTAAAATAATAAAAAGCATTAGCTTGAGACCTGCAGTATTAAAAATCCAGTACTCCTAATATTGTACAAAAGCTCTGTATGTCTAGAAAGTCAGTAACGAAATACATCACAAACATCTATCGACAAGACCATAAATACAGGGTTGGAAAGGTGGTTAAGAGGATTCCTACTCAGCCCTCTATTCAAAGTGTTGTATTATTATTCAAATAGTTTAAGTTATGGAATTTATTTCCTTGTGTAGTAATGAAAATTTGCAATCTTGAATGAAATGGAAACAAATGATCTTGAAGAGATTATGGTCTTCATAAATAGACTGTGCTCACACTAGTGGGTTAGATGACAAAAATCAGGAGAATGTTTACTGCCTTTTTGTTTAATAGTCTTTCACCAAGGTGACAAGAGAAGGAACACCACCAATTTTAAAACACAGAGATTATACTGGTGAGATTATACTCCCATGGTGAGGGAAAAGATATTTTGTGACAGAAGGCATCATCCTGAACATTTTTCAAACCATTAAAATGGTCTTTCCAGATAGTTCAGACAAAGGAACTGATCATTTTCGTCACTTACTGCAAAGACCTCAGACAACTGCAGGAGCTTCCACAGAAGGTTAGTTTGGCACACAACAGCCTAAATCATTTCTAAATTATCTCAAACCTCTTAGCGTAACTGAAAAAGGACATAGACATTTATCTTCAATACTGCAAGCAGCATCTTGTCACCTATCTCAAATAGCATACAGTGTTAGCTAGAAAAAAAGGATACAGAAAAGAGAAACAAGAACACTCAGCAATACAATATTACTGCATATTATAAATGCTATAAATGGACAGTGAAGAAAGAGAGAGGGAATCGGGTAGGGAGATTAACATGTGTATAGAGTAGGAGAATAATAATATAGAAGGCTACTTCTTTTTCTTGATTTCTTGAATTCTTGAAGTAAGAATTCAACTGTTTCTACAGGGAAGCAAAGTAAAAGAAAGCTTACAAAATATGAGTTAAATTCATAACAGATTGACAATGAGGCTTGCTAGGCAGCAATGAACCTGTAAGCCACGCATGATTTGGGCAGTCCCTTCACCCCTGCTGGGAAGGGGCACTGGAAGAGGAGTCACCAAGCAAGCCCTTTTGACAGGTATTCCTTAGCCATCGTTGATAAGAGGATATAGGAAACAGACCAGAAAACCGGTTAACACTGTTCTTGTATTGTTTCAAATGCCTAAAATTCTTCAAACAATGTCCTGTGGACAACAAAGATCACTACTTAGATCTTTGATTGCAGAGGCTCGTTTCCCCATGCCATGTTACTGTGACACATTATGAAGCTTCCAGACATATAAAGACTGGAATTTTTGTGACCCTCAGGAATTCCTTTAGCTCTGCTTGCACAGGTGAGGCAGAGGAGATTGCACACTAATGCTATGTAAGTATTTATACTTCATGCAGTGAGCAGGCATCTTGTTCTTGATCTGCTCTCAGAGGGCGAGAAAAAGCCACGATCTGTGCACTTGCAGGCAAGTCCTTCCCAGAGGCTAGGTCTAGTTTTGCTGGGCAAAGTGCACGTTTTTGCAGTTTCTTCCTCCTTGCTGTAAGGAAACACAAGCTGAGATCTACACACAAACCACAGGGTAAGCACATACCAGGCTCCAGTCTCCTACAAATGCTGCACACAGAGCGCGGCGAAAAGCACGGTTTACGCAGGGAAGGGAAGAACAGGACTGAAAAGGTGCTATCGATGCCCTCAAACCTTTAGTTTAGGCTATTCCCTAGCACTCTCGGGTCCCCAGAACCACTACAGTAAAGGCCACTGTAATTTAGTACATACGTAAAAAATCAGAACAGTAAGTTTCTAAGATGATCAGCCCATCCATACGAGCTTGGCAGAGAGCAATGCCAAGCGTGTTGGATATTTCTACACAGTGGATGCTGTTTGAAGAACTCTTATGAAACCTGAAATAGTTTTGCTTAAGCTCAAAACAGCCAACAGATTTATTCATTCAGCTTCCAGGCAACAGTCAAGCTATCTTATAGAGAAAAAAAAAAAAAATGTTCACTGTCTTCTTTACCACAAGTGCAAATTAAAGTCACCCAGCAGTAGCAATGCAAAAATACAATTAAATTGCTGGTGCCAACGGTGATATTTCACATTCACAGACATTACCTCAAAGTATTTACTGTGGAAGTATCTTTAATGGATTACAGAGCGAGGGTTATAAACACTTTCATAAAGATGAGGACAAAAGACTTGCACACACCATATAATTAATGTCTTATTTCAGAATACTTTATTATTTATTTTTTACCCATAACATTTAATTACTAAAATTCTCTTCCCACCACAAAAACAGAGATTACTACACCAGCCACAGATCAGAAAAGCATGAGGAAGAGGGCAAAAATCGGAAAATATCAAATTAAAAAAAAACAAAAACAAAAAACAAATGTGTTGGCACAGTTCCAATCCTGAAGTCTCAAGATTCACATACAGTAATTAAAAATACTGTGTTTAATTTACTTGACTAAGGCTGCCAATTTGCAGCACCCTCTACAAAACAACATAGACTGTGGCTACCAATATGTTCCCTGATTTGAGCCCGTGAGTCTCAAGCTATTACACATTACTTTGCAGTCATGGCAAATGAGTATCAGCCCTACAAGCCTTTTAATTAAAAACATCATAAAGTCATGAAAATAGTTGAGGGTGACAATGGCCTGCTTGGCCAAAAAAATTGGGAACAGACCCCTCGAGCCCATCCTCAGATGTTCACACACTCATTATTCCCTATTAGAGGTTGGTGCCAGGTCCAAGTTTTGGCACTGGCTCAGCTTCAGTTTACCACGTTTGAGGCACAGAGGTGGTACTTCACTGTGACAAGGCAGGTAACCCAGCTTGGTCTGAACTTCTCTTTCTAAAAGTCTTTTCATATTATATTCAGGCTTATAGTATCCTTTAAACTTTACTTAGCACTCTCGACATAAAAGCAAAACAAAACATTTCTTGAAATGAAACAAATAATTTGGGGGGAACCAGAAGCAGAACCATCATTAGAGCTGCACACAAACTGAAACTCCTGTTCACAGGAAATTCCAAGTTTAAATTTTTTTATAACAAAACAAAAAGACAGACTTGAAAATTTACCAAAGAATGCAATTTCTGAAATTTCATTTAGAGGGAGCAGGAAGAAAACTTTTAACCCCTTTTAACCAAGGTAGCCTCATCAAAAGGGAAGCTGGTGAACTGGGAAGGCAGCAGAAAGCCAAGATAACCAACAACCAGAGCACCTGAGGAGTTTGCAAGTCCTGGCTCCAGGGCACTACATCTGACAAGGGCTCCATGTCTTCGTGGCAGCTCGACTTCAGGATTCCTCAGCTAAAAGGCACAACCTAGGTTAAGGAAAGCTTTCATTTTCACAAACAGTAAATTCTGAATTTAAGGAAGCCTGTTTTCCATTACTCCGCTGGGGACCCTGCCATTACTTTTACATGGGCAGCATTCAAATACTGTGTCAATGGTGAAAATGTAAAAGCACTAAACTTATGTTTAAGACATGTTAAAAGACTAAACTTATGTTTCGACATAAAACAAATATCTAGCCTTCCTAAACAATGGTTTCTTTATTTCTTTCTGTTCCTTCTGATGTGTGACAGAACCATATTTTTATGGTATGCTCTCAGCAATTACTGAGGGCA